TATATATATATATATATATATATATATAATTTTACTAATAAAATAGTAAATCAGCAGTACATTACAGGAGAAGTAAAAATGATGCATGCTTTCACATAACAAGTATTTTGAAGAGAAAGTATCAGCACACTGTTACAAAATATTCAACTTCATTGAAAACAAAAATCTCTCTAGAATCTTTGCATTGCAAAATCATCCCTTAGAATCCCTATGATAGAAAACTAATAGCAGATTCTATACACTCTTGCATCTCAAAAAAAAAAAAAAAAAAGAAATTATGCAGACATGGAAATGAAGAAGAGAAATACCTATTTCCAATAATTTTCTTTTATTTCCTAGATAGGCAAAAAAACCAAAACCACATAAATAAATAATTTGCCCCCAAGCTTTAATTTGTAGCAGAAAAAGACTAATCTTTCCTATTATTTTGAAAGCCAGTAGACAATTAGAAATAGTGTGCAGGCAGCGATGACTGCTGAAAGGATAAGCGTGTCTTTCAAGCGTTTTCTTCTGATAGCACCTTCACCACAAAAAAAAGAAATACAATAGTTATAAGGAAATAATATATTTCATGGACAAACTGTAGATTAGACACTAAGGAAGAAAACTAAATTTAGGTTAAGGAAATGAGTTCTGAAGTTATGATATTTACTTTAAGATAAACACAATACAATACCAATTAATTAAAAATTCTATTACATTACTTCCAAGTAAATTTTATGATAATAATACTTTTAATCAATATTTTTCTTTATTAGTAGGAAGATTTACATACATGTCACTCAATTCCCATGTTTTTACATATCTAACACCTAAACTTCAATTTTACATGCACTGTTTCAACTACACTTTAAAGTAAAAATTTTGATTTTCACCAAAAAGGTGGTATTCTTTATGTGATATGAAAGATTTGGGTGAAATAAATATAAAAAATAAAATTTAGGAGTTTGTATATGAAAATACATAGGAATTAGGTGATACGTATGTAAATGCCCCTACTTAATAGTCAAGCAAAGTAGGGGATTATGGAACTCAAAAAGAAAATTAAATAAAAATTAAGGACATCCTTAATCAATTTAGTGAGCACGAGTTTTATAGTTATGAAATTTACTTTAAGATAAACATAATACATTACTAATTAATTATTGTATTCATTCATTTCAAAGAAAATTTTATGATTATTTTAGTTTTAATCAATAATTATTCTTAATTAATAGTAATAAAGCAAACTAAAGTATGTTGGAATTATATAAGAAAAATTTTGGATTACCTAATAGACCGCGGATCTTCGGAAACTTATCGCCCAATTGTTTAACTTTACCCTGAACATGTCCAAAGAAAGCTCGTTGTGTGCCGAGAACTGATCTTGTAGCTTGAGCTTGGCTTATCACTTCATCAATCTGAAACAGAAGAGCTTGGTTAGGAGCAGTCAAACACTGTGACAGAAGTAGGGGTAAAATAAGGGAGTTATGATTAAGGGTAATTCTGATAGAAAATATATTTACAAACATAAAATTGTCATTTTGATGGATTTTATGGCATATGAATTTTTAAATACCATCAAATCAATTGGCATATCAAGATGATAAGCATTTGATTTAAAATTTTGTGAGGTGAATCTTTCGAGCTGAAAGTTAATGAATAGTTGACAATGCTTTATTTTCTTTATTGCTTAATCTATTGATGAGAACCAATAAAATCTTTTGCAAAAGTAAATGTAATGTCAGTGACAGCATGAGATAACATGTGCGCAAGATAAGTGATCTTTTAGGATTAAATTCATAGATAACCTGAAATGAAGTTTTGCAAATTATTTTGGGGAATATATAATTATATGCAAATTCAAATTTGGGTTGATGTAAAACCCAAGTCCCCAACTCATCAATACATGGATAAAGTACCAATGAATATTAAATTTTGTACCTATAAGCATTCACAAGGTTATAATGAATAAAAAATATCTTTTTTAGCAGATTATTGTGAAGTTCTTAATCTAAGCAATGATTGTGGCAGTTTGTGCAATATTAGAAAGAAAAATCACAATACCTTAAGCACCTAACGTACCCTCAAAGTAATACCAAATTTCCTATTTCTTCTTAACTAAAGGGATCATTTGGGATTAATTTCATGTAGTCGAGGGGCTAAAGTGGAGATAAGTGATAGTCTGGGACTAAAGTGGCTACATACACATAATCCCTGGGTCATTTTGGATTTTTTTTTTCTCTATAGTAAAACCATAAAAGATAGAATGAGCAATGATTACATTAAAGAAAAACTGAAGCAGCAAGTCAAAAAGGTACTAAAAAACAAATTTAGGTGACTTAGGCAATTAGGAAATGGTGTAAACTATTTTGTAATAAAATTGACAGATAGGATTATTATAAAAGAATTAGAAAGAAAAATTATCAATGGTCATATGAATTACTAAAATCTGCAAAAAATGATTGCGCAAATTATAATAAGCATCTCAAGTGTGGCCCAACAAGAATAAACATAACATGGAATCATAAAGCCAACCCAAATAAAGTATACCCGAAATTTTGGGATAAATGATGATGCGATAACTATAATGGAATAAATGCAAAAAACTAAATTGACATGAAATCATTAAAGTAAATGCAATGAACATTTATTACTTCCAAAAAGAAAAAAGGGATACCGCACAATTCTTATGTATTTATATATCTAACACCCAAAGTTTGATATTTATATTTATAGCACTTCGGTGTCATAAACTTATGAAAGAAAAGGTGCATTTCACTTTTTAAAAAATAGAGATGGTGTTATTTCTTATGAGTTGTTAAGGATTTGAGTGATATACATGTAAATATGAATACTTAGGTGTTAGAAATGTAAATACATGAGAATTGTGTGGTATGTAAGTGTTAGAAGCTATATTAAGAAATAATTTATTCTTGTTACAAGTTATGAGAATTAAATTTATTTCATTTACTATTTTATATCTTGTATTGTTTCATTTATCTCCAAGTAATTAATATAAATAAATTAATTGGGGATATAGGTGTTATATCTTTTATTTCCTGTTATTTTTTTTTTATTGTCTTACTTATTCTAGAAATTATGTAAGAATTATTTATACCATCGTTTCATATCAACAATATTATTCCGCATTATCCGAAACTTCAACATGGTATCAGAGCCAAGCTCCCTACCCTAGTCGTCAGTCCTCCTTCCGGAGCCACCGGACTCCCTTCCTGTCATCCTCCCTGCAGGAAGGGAGGGAAGCTCTTCTCCTGCCTCAGCTATCGCGACCAAGACTGCCGCTTAAAACGACAACTTCTGTTGGTAGCCATCAACACCATATCCCTTTCCACATTGTCAAAAGCCTATCTGGAGACTTCGTTTAGCAAGCCCTCACCGTAGGAACTAGCTGCTGAAGTCGGCCACTGTGGACGGCAATCCTGCTTTCACTTGAAAGTGAATCTCCTATGAAAGCATCTCCCGGGAACTTCCTGCAGGCCTATGAATCTCCCAGCATATGCAACGTGGCTTCCCTACAACCTCCTCGTGAGAATACCTAGAGGAAAATTCCTGTAGTTGGCCCACCCCTTCCAGTGCCGGCTAAATCTCCTTCCAGTAGTTTTCTTCCCGTCAGCTCTTTCTCCCATGGAGATCTTTCCTGTGGAGATCTTCCCAGCAACTCTATCACCCGCGGAAATCTTCCCAACAGGTTTTCTCCCAACCGATTTTTCTCCAGGGAAGAACTATTGCAGGTTTTCTCCTATGGAGAACTATTGCAGGTTTTCTGAAGGCAGATTGTCGCTTATCCCTCCGGCAAGTGTTTCAGCCGCCGGACCTCCCTCCAACAGGCTTGATCTCCTTCCAGGACCATCGGGGCGTCTTCCTGCAGCCATTTCTATTCCCTGCACGACCTCCTGCTGCCAGCTCTCCCTCCTGCAACCTTTACCGCCGTCGGAACTACATCCTACAGACTTTCAGCCGTCAAAATCTTCTACAGACGAAAAAAAAAAATCCTATCCATCCTGCTGGCTTCCTTAGAGGAGACCCATCTTTCTGTAGTCTTTTCACTACATCCGGATCTCCTTCCTGCCGGCGCTAGAAATTCCTGTAAGCAACCAGAACTTCTACCGACAGTCCCCATCCTCTACAGGCCCTCCTCAACCACTCATCATGGATGTACCAACATGAGATCTTGATGCAAGAGCAGTTAAAATTGTCAAGAGAACGGTAAGAAATAATGTCAACACAGAAAGAACTGTTGCCTGTACCATCCACCAACCAAGCATTGCCATATTTGAATCCTTGGATGAGTTACTTTTGCTGAAAAATGGGGACCAAGCAATTTTTTCTGGACCATTGAGCGAGAATTCTAAGAAACTAATAGAATATTTTGAGAAATTTTCTGGAGTTAAAAAAATCAATGATGGAGGCAACCGAGCAGCATAGATGCTTAAAACAAGTTCTGTTGCCCCAAACGCAAAACTAAAAATTGATTTTGCAAAGATATACAAATCTTCTCCATTGCACAAGCGAAATGTGGTATTAGTTAGAGAGCTTAGCAAGCCATTACCTGGTGCATCTGATCTTCACTTCTCAACTGAATATGCCTAATCCATTTATGGCCAATTCAAAATCTGCGTATGGAAGTACTGGCCCATTTAATGGAGTCTGGGGTACAATATAGAAAGTCTAGGCATGGCCTTTGTCACTGCTTTAGTGCTAGGCTTAATTTATTGGAAAATTGGCCAGCATAAGGACAATTCGAAAGAGCATATGTTCGTTATCGGAGCAATGTTATTTGTTATAGAATTTATGAGCTTTGTCAATTGCTCTACAGTATAGCCGCATTCTATTGAATCCTCCAAACTTTTTTCCCGCGGCAAACCCTTCTCTGGAATCATTCCTGCAACAAGCCGTCCTCCAAAGTTTTTTTTGCAGCAGACCCTCCACCAGAATTCTTCCAATAGCAGACTCTCCTCCGGAGCCTTATTCTGCATCAGGCCATCCTCCGGAACTTTTTCTTGCATCAAGCATTCCTCCGGAGCATTTCCTGCAGCAGGTCCTCTACCTGAATTCTTTCTGGAGCAGCCCCTCCTCCGAAGCTTTCCTGCAGCAAGGTCTACCTTTGAGGCTTTTTTTATTTTTTTCTGCAAACCATACCCTGCAACCTTTCCTGTTGATTATTTTTTTATTTTTTTCTGCAAACCATACCCTGCAACTTTTCCTGTTGATTATCTACTTTCCTGCAAACTTCCCTGCAGCATTACCTGTAAAAGTCTTCTGTTTGCCTACAAACACTGCAGAAACTGCAGTCAACCAAATACTCTTGGGGTTGATTATCAATAACAAAACTGCAGACCATACCCTGCAACTTTTCCTGTTAGTTATCTACGTTCCTGCAACAAGGCCTACCTTCGAGGCTTTTTTTATTTTTTTCTGCAGACCATACCCTGCAACTTTTCCTGTTGGTTATCTACTTTCCTGCAAACTTCCATGCAGCATTACCTGTAAAAGCTTTCTGCTTGCCTACAAACACTGCAGAAAATGCAGTCAACTAAATGCTCTTGGGGTTGATTATCAAGAACGGAATGAAGACCTCAAGTTCTACCACACAAAAAATCCTTCTCGCAAATTATTTAATGTTTTCAAATCCAAGTTGATCATGGTTTTCAAACATATTTCAACTTGAAGGAGTGTTAAAAGTTATATTAGGAAAGAATTTATTCATGTTAGAAGTTACAAGGATTAAATTTATTTCCTTAAATTTGAGTTATTTCCTTTCCTATTTCATGTTTTGTGTTGTTTTATCTCTAAGTAATTAATATGAATTGATAATTGGAGATATATGGGTTATATCTTTCCTTTCCTATTATTTTTTTTATTATCTTTCCTATTCTAGGATTCATGTAAGCGTTATTGATACCCCCATTTCATATCAATAATATTATTCCATATTATTTTGAATTTCAACAGTATGTAAATGCCCCAAAAACTAAAGAGTGATTACCAGTATCATACACTTAAGTGAAGTTCTCTAATTATATGATTGTAGCATCCTATATGTACAGGCTTATGAATTTTCAAATTGTGTCATATACCATTCGCATAACATGAACCTCAATCATATAAAGAGGCTAGTGAGTTAAATGCATTGAATTTACTACGAGGTCATTCAATGTAAGTAATTATACCTGATAACTTGTGTTATGCAACAATTTTAAAACTGCTAAGCAGTTGCAACGCAAATTAAACAGCTTTATTTCAAATATAAATCCATGATGGATTATCACTCTTTGGTGAAGGTGCAGTCCACAGGTAGCATGCCAAAAGAAAATTCAATTTAGAGTGCATAATATCCCTGACTTTAACAGGGAAATTTAATTAATTAAAGGAATATTCACGTACATACTACTCAATTCTTATGTATTTACATAGCTAACACCTAAACTTTAATTTTACAAGCATGCCACCTTACCCACACATGAAAAGGAATATTTCATTTCTTAAAAGTTAAAACGGTGGTATTATTTATATGATATAAAATATTTGGATGGTATAGAAGTAAAAAACAAAGTTTTGGAATTGGGTGCTATGTCTGTAAATGCACTTTTAATTAATTAAAATATTGGCATTTGCCGGAAACCTCTGGGGTATGCATAAATCTCAGTCAAACAATTAATACGACTTGAAATTGATAGCTTCATCATAGACATGTAAATAGAAAATAAAATTATATAACCCACACTTACATGGCTTATACTTCCATGAATTGATGCTCTTTCCCGTAAAAGATGCACCCTGGGGGACATACTTCCTGATGACTATATAAAAAATAAAGTTCAGTAGTAGAGACAAAATTTTAAAAATTGAAATATGACAAACTGGACCCAGAAGCTAACATTACCTTAGATTCGGTTATGTCATCTCTGACAGAGTTAAGTAGTTCAGCATGATCCCTCAAAGAATTCAAGTTTTGTTTGGTTCGTCGAAACTCCTGAAAGGCAAAGATCACATTCAAATCCAGTCAGACTTGGTACTCCTAAGAAAAGGGGCTGTGCATTTACATAGATACCACCTAATTTATATGTATTTACATATCTAACATCTAAAATTTGCTTTTTTACGTTTATACCACCCAAATCTTTCATATCATATCAAAAAATACCCTCTTTTTTACTTTTAAAAAGTAGATAAAAAGTAGAATACACATTTTCATGCATAGCTAAGGCGGTATGGTATGTATGTAAAAATTGAAGTTCATGTGTTAGATATGTAAATGCATAAGAATTGAGTGGTATGTATGTAAATCTTCCAAAAAAAAAATGTCATTCTGGAATGTGGATGCGAGCATCATGTGAAATGAAAATGATGAAGGTGTAATGAGCATTATCACAGAAATGTAGTTGAAAGGCATTTATTCACCATAACAAATAGCATTGAATTTTTTTTTAATCGGATAAAATTAGATTGGGAGATCATACGGAACAAATCTTAAAATTAGCCACGTAAGCCAACATCAATTATATAATCAACAATACTCTGTATTTTAAGATTATTGAATAATTCCACTCCACATAGAATAATGAGAATATTAAATGACCCTTGGCAAGCGACTTTAAGAAAAAAAATAAAAAAAAATTCTAGGTTAGAAAGCAATCTACAGCGTGGCATGTGCATTTCGATAGATTGAACCATGAGATGGGAAATATGGATTCAAATAGAAATAGCATGATATTTATAACTGAGTCCATGTGGCTTACCTCGTGCTTCAGATATAGAAAATCTTAAAATCAGTTAAAAAATGATAGGTCAAAGCATGAACAACAAAAAGGGTAGGAAAAATTGTGACCTTGGCAGAGAAATGCTCCACAGGAAAAACTCCAGAAAGTAGAATAAATTGAGGAACCGCATGATCGTATATTTTAAAAAATACATGCATTTTAAGAACATAGGGTAGTTGAAATGCATGCATTTTAAAAATGTAGTTGTCTAATTGCAGGTAAATCAAAGGCATCAAAATATTTTTTATGTTAATTGTGATACAATTCAAATGCATTGATACGCAAAAAAGGGCATATGCAAGCAACAAACGTGGGCGACAGCAGGCAGTGGATGATCGTGCGCCGAAATTGTGTGAGGGTAAAGTGTGGGATTTGGAAATCATGAGTGGGCACATAGCAAGATTTTGAAATTGCCTTATTTGGGTGATTTCCACATGCGGTGATAACATAAGCTTTAGGGTATCTCAAATCCCTCAAAACTTTACTTTGCATTTTCTTTTTGCTTTGTATTAAACATAAAAACCGATATGCATAGAAATGGAATATAGCACCCTACTAACACACTTGACCAAAAAAAACCCTAAACTGCAACATCTGATCACCTAAACTCATTTCGTATCTAGATTAATGTCTATATATGTTAAATTACAGATAGAACATATAAAATGATATAATAAGTATTTTATTTTGCACCACAATATAGAAATTTAGATTTTTATTTCCTCTTATAACAAGAATGGATTGGAACATCCTCCATAAAGAATGTTATGTAAGAAGATCACAGGCCAACAAGACTACTACTCAATGTGTTCATTACGTCATTTCTTGCCATATCATATGTTATTTTAGTTTTTGAGTGTTTAGCCTTAAATCTGTTAGCATGTTTGCTTTAGACATTGCATATGCTTGGCCTCCCTATAAACATTAGAGGGAATAAAAAAAAATGATGAATACTACGAATTTTATGATGATTTGGATGAAAATGTGAACAAAAGAAGTTTATTACTAGTTTAATGAAAAAACACATGACATATTTAATAAAAATAACTACAAAAGGAATCCATCATTCAGTGTATGTAAAAGGACATCCAAAAAGGCTATGAAGAAGGGTGTTGTACAGAACTAGGTAAACAAGTGCATAATAGCCAAAACTAGCAATTCAAATGAGAATAAAACAGCATTGGCTCTCCCTTAATTTTCATGAATTGCAAAAGACTAAATTCAACATATGCCAAAAACAAAAATTTTATAGTTGGCCAGCTAAGTAAAGTAAAGAGCTCGTACTCTGAATTAATAACCAAGAGCATAAGATCGGTGCATTCAGGAACGGCCAGATCTCATACCCCTTTTATTTTTAAGAAAAGTCAGCAAGAGCATTTCATTGATACCTCGAACAAAAATAGAATGTACATCAATTATAGCTTAAGCTCAAACATTTATGCTGGCTTTGTGAGCCTCATAATCTATTATATTAACTTTGATGATAACAAAAGTATGTTTGGATGATCTAATATTTAAATTAAGTATTTCAGGTGCATCGATTTTATAGATATGCAAACTAGAGATTCAATCAAAATTTGAACATGGATGAATCGAATATGGATCAAGATGGATAGCTCGGAACTCTATATAAAAAAATGATAGAAATTTTCTTGCATGGCTTATTTTTTTGCTTGAAGTTTAGTATTTCAAGTGCATTGATTTTATAGACGTGCAAGCAAGAGATAGATCAAGATTTGAGCATAGATGAATAAAAGATGAATCAAGATGGATAGCTTGGAGCTCTATATAAGAAATAATAGAAATTTTCTTGCATGATTTGCTTTTTGCAAGCAATTAGATATATTCACTTAATTAATCATTAATTAAGAATAATAAAATAAAATTATATATCAATATATTTAAATGTTTAATTATAATTTTCATAATTTTAATATTTTCTTAAACACTTTTACATAACAATAAATTTTCGAAAATAATATAATGAAGATGTTCAAAGTAGAAATTCAATTTTATTTTAATATATTTGAAATTTATATGATTTCTTAAAATAATTTATCTAATATTATTGGAATATTGATTAAAACATTTAAGAATTGTCATAAAAACAATAGAATTTGTTCTTCACCCATATTTTATTACCATTATAGAATTCAATTCTTCTAATTATTCCAATAACCTTATTGGCTTCTGTAGATACTATTTGATAGGTTGTGACATAACGTACTTTGGAATAAAATTAAGTTTATTATGATTTTTCAAACATTGCTATTGTTTTGTTGAGCTGGCTAGTCATTATACACTCACTTGAACCTATTTAAGTTTTGTTTGACTTCCCTATTTTGTCTAGATGTTACCAAGCCATTTGAATCTAATAATATCTTAATAAAAATTATTTTTTTACTGAATACTATATTATTATTCGATTAAATAATGATGGAATAATATTATGCAGTAAAATTGCTTTAAAATTACTTTTTGGTTATAAATAACCTCATTTTCTTCATGAAATGGTTGCTGCTCTTGAATTCTAAAAACTCAAGCATATGCTCTCCTCTTTCTTCTTTCTTTTCAAGTAAAAAAATCTTAGGAGAAAGTTCATTTATTCCAAGTGCTTTGCATCTTTTCAAGATTACATTCCTTAGTTTGGAGTCCTCTACGCACTCAATCAAGCAAAGTTTCTTAAAGACTTTGAGTTTGTTTTCTTCATTTTAAATATATCTTTATTATTCATATGTTACTCATCTTTTCTAATACTTAAAAATCTTTATTTGCGAATCAAATACTTATTTAGCATCATATATTAAGTTTTGAATGGCTAAATTCTACATCCATAAAGTTAGTAAGAAATTTGTGGGTGATTATCAGCCCTTTGAAAATTCACCTCAAATTATTGTTTGATCATTGTGTTGCAAACTTGTTTGAGCTTGTACAATCTATAAATTTTGTAAGTTTTTTTCTTTATATAAGCCATTCAGCTTAGTGAAAAATCATTGTATTTATATTTGGTTGTACTAGCCCATATAAAAGAGTACTTAGATAGTAAACAACTTCGGTTTGAAGAAGTGAGATTTGTTCGTAAACCTCAAATTTAATAGATTTCTAGACCAAGAGTTGTCTGGTGTGGACTTAGGCTTGATAGTCGAACCACGAAAAAAAATTGCCTACTATTTGCTTTACTTTGCAAAATAGTATAAAAATAATATTAATTATTTTAATTATTAAAACTTTTTAAAAATCCCAATTCACCCCCCTCTTCGGTGCCATAGTCATCCAACAATTTCTTCCACAAGTTCTTCAATCAAAAGAAATCTAGTTCTAAAGGGGTCATAAAGTCATGCAAAAAAAGAAATGAGTGCTTAAACTTCTCAGCCTCGACATTTAAAACAGTCAACTACAAGGTGATTGTGTTCCTTTCTTTTCAACTAGCAAAAGTAGTTATAATGTACTTAGTCTAAAGGAGACTGGATGAAAATATGAATTCCCCTCTCCTTTATTGACTGGTGATTCGATGACAAAAAGCTTAGAATCTGCGAGATGCATTCCTCATAGTAATCCCCTAAAACAGATAAACTAAATATAGCTTGGAGTTCCCCTAAAGTAATAGTCATCTTATATGAGCCCATCAAGAAAGTATATATGGTACCATCCAACTATTTTACCATACACTGGATTAAAAAAAATATGGTAAGTTGCAATAATCAAACATAGATGCAATGATTACTAGAGAATTCATCTGATTGTCATATGATGCGCTCTTAGCATATAACGCACCCAATAAAAATAATCACTTACTGCATGAGGAATTTCAAATATAGAATCAAGACACCATCCCTTCCGCTTCACCATGTAGCAAACTTTAAAATTGAACAACACTCAGGCTCTCAACACTATATGCAACTAGCTAAAATAAATCATGATTGCCATAAAAAAGATCGTGATTGCTTTGAGAGAGATTTGTTTGCAAAAATTTAATAATAAGAATTAATCAAACTGGTTCACAAATTAATTTGTCATGAGATATTCTAAGTTAAGTTATTAAATGGCATCTAAATATGCCTTTTTTTTAAAAAAATGAATAAATTCCTTAGAAAATTCAATGCAAAAATCTATTTTATTAACATTGTGGCATTTTTAGTTAACACAAAATGATAAGTTGAATTGGACCACATTGGATGACCATATATAACTATATGCACTAATATGTTTATAGTATTAAATTTATTTAAGATTCACACGAATATTCACATGATGTATTTACAACAACAAACAAAAAAGTTCACTATGTTAACCAAACTGATTCATAAAGAGCTTTTCCCCACAATTCATATTATTTTGATATCATTAAAATTTTTAGTTTGAAAAATTGCAGGAGTCAACAAATTATTTAATGAACGAGTTTAGATAGCAAAACAAATTCAAGTATAGATTAGAACATATTTGCTGCCCAATAGCCTATATAGCCCATATGAGCAAAGATCAAGAAACATTAATCCTCTGAGCTAGTTTGCTTGTGAGATCCTTTATCATAACATCTAGAAATGATGATGTGCAAAAACATCTACAATAAGGTTTTTGCTTGCTCTCATCATCCAAGTGAATTTAACTCAAGTCTTCCTGTGATATAAGACCCTACTTATTAAGTCATTAGTTTATGCTAAAACATAATGATTAGAACCCTCTAAGCAGAATTACCGATAAACTTAGTTATGATGATCAAGATATGCTCCAACTAACAACAAATAGTATTAAGGCATGTGTCATTCAATTTATGTGTTACCATCTTTTTTACATCATGAAATGAATGGGTAAAGTTATGATTCCATGCTTGGAAGCACTCCACGGCCTCCACAATCATAGCTCCAAGCATAGTAATTGTGACAAAATAAGAACTTTATCCTTAACATATTCAAAAAAACCTTACATGAATTTTGATAGGGTTAAATCTCACCCCCGCCTCCCCTCTCCCAAATTAGAACAAGCTGTCATTTTAATGTAAAAAATGTGACATGAGTATGTCCACCTAGCTCCAAGCATGGCAATTGTTTGTAGAAAATAAGAACTTTATACATAACATCCTAAAAAAAATTTAATGTAAAAAATGTGACATGAGTATGTCCACCCTGCTCCAAGCATAGTAATCGTTTGCAGAAAATAAGAACTTTATACTCAACATATTCAAAAAAACCTTACATGAAACACAAGTCTTCCTGTGATATAAGACCCTACTTATTAAGTCATTACTTTATGTTATGACATGATTAAAACTCTCTAAATAGAATTACCGATAAACTTAGTTATGAAGAACAAGATGTGCTCCAACTAACAACAAATAGTATTATTGGCACGTGTCATTCAATTTATGTGTCACCATCTTTTTTACATCATGAAACGAATGGGTAAAGTTAAGATTCCATGCTTGGAAGTACTCCAGGACCTCCACATCAGTAAGTGCTTATGTTTACTTCGTACATTACATGCTGAGAGTGTATAATATAATGCTCATATAAATAAGTCTTTATTAGGCTATCCATACAACTATGTTAGGTTATGAAAACCTGCTAGCATCATAGATCTAGGATATAATAGAGCACTGGGATAACACCTTTAAAGTTAGTTAGATAGTGCCGCATTACTTGGCCATTGCCATAAGGAAATTTCAAGCTATACCCAAACCGATCTTAGGGGATCCTTATGAGGCATGTCTTACCAAAAATTATGAGTTTTTCCAACATCAAATGGTGATAACAAAGGAGAGAAAAATCCATATATTCATTCAGCTAACTCAAACTTTCGAGCATAATTAAAACCTTCATAGGAAGAAGGAAAGAAGCCATCATTTCCATATAATTATTATTTCAAACGTCTGTGAAACAAGAATTGCTTACTTTATACAATATCATAGTCCCTTTGGTTCTAGAACTTCAACTAAAAAACTCATGCAAGAGATGTTTGAGCTTAAGATAGTGATCAACGTATGCTCAATTTTAGCTTAGATATCAATAAGATGTTCTTCATAGTTTTTCTACTTGCATGAACTTGTTACATTGTTTTCCTTGAATCAGGACAATTGAAAGCACTAGGAGCATACTTATATGTGTCCATCTATCCAAGTGATGCCAAGGGACCTATTGGTCATGAAGAAGTAATCAAGATGTATTTTTGGTTACCTTTCTAGGCATACAGTACAAATGAGCTAACGCTCATGCTCATTTCGTCTATTAGATAAAATCCCTAATTTTATTCCTTGTACTTGAAATTTTCACATTTGACAAGAAATTCACCAAAAATAGACAAACAAACTCCAATCTAGAATATGCTCGTAAGTAAGGCTAACATGAAAATAAATTAACCAAAATTACCTGTGAGTACTCGTGCAGTATATCCCTGTGCCTTGCTAACTTCTGTGTAATAGATGTGGTTGATGCTGCAGATGCAGCACATCGGCTCATGGAATCATTAATGTCTAGTAACTTCTCTAGTAAGGATTCTATTTCCATTTCAGTAGACTTCCAAGACCTATTTGGTCCAATATTAGGTGATCCAATCTCCACAATACCTAGAAAAATGGCAATTAAACAACAGGAAGATGTTTTTTGTTTCCTTGCAGACAAAATGAAAGATAGCAAATAAAGAGCCCCCAAATTAGAACAAGATGTCATTTTAATGTAAAAAATGTGACATGAGTATATCCACCTAGCTCCAAGCATGGTAATTGTTTGTAGAAAATAAGAACAAGATGTCATTTTAATGTAAAAAATGTGACATGAGTATATCCACCTAGCTCCAAGCCCCCGCGCCCAAATTAAATTTTAATGTAAAAAATGTGACATGAGTATGTCCACCTAGCTCCAAGCATAGAAATTGTTTGTAGAAAATAAGAACTTAGAACTTAACATATCAAAAAGCCTTACATGAATTTTGATAGGGTTAAATCCTCACCCACCCACCCACCATCCCTTCAAAGGGCTAAATTTTGTGTCATATGAGTAGCATGTAAAGTTTGAATGCATCACCAAAAGTCATAAAGTTGTACCAAATCAAAATGATATAACAAATGGAAGCTATGTTACGAGAAATGTATTCATGATGTGATTGTAATTGTTTGGCTGTCAAGAATTTAGGGATTAAAGTTGCATTCAGCCCAATTTCCCACCAAACAGCTTAAATTTGACTTTTTATTATGAGTTAATCTTTAATTTAGCTTAATTTATCAAATCCGAGAAGCAATTAAAATTTTACCAAATCCAATCAAAGGTAAGATTATCAATTTAAAGAGCGAGAGAAAGAAACAAATAAAGAGAATAATTTATAAATGTTACATTCATGGGATAAGTGTAAGCATCATATCATCAACATTAGCTTTATCCTTAGCTATTTTTCATCAATTTTAGGAGTTCTCCTCCATTAAACGTGTTGGGTACTAGTAGAAATGCTAAATCAATCGTGCCTAATTTCTAGCTCCTGTTTAGCAATAATGAATAACGCAATGCGGAATAAGGGTCCCCATAATCCATAGAGCAGCATAACACTATACACATGTTATAAAATTAGCATAAATCATAGAAAAATCATACACATTTTATTAACAAATCAATAATATCTAAGCAAAATTTCCTTAAAAAATGTCACATAAGTAGAGATAGGATTTTTAAAAGTTTAGCATACATACCATAAAAAGAATTAACTTTGTATGTTTCCACCAACACGGTGTTACTTTATTCATTTCCTTTCTATTTTAAAATAAAATTTGACATTTACACTAGGAGGGTGATATGTTAATTACATATATTGTCATTAAGGGTTTTGCCTTGTTCAGCTTTTATGGGGCACTTTACAAATCATTTTATCAAAGAAATTAACCATTTACAATCCCAAAACCGCTCATAAATTTTTGAGGATTTATGCTACATTTACATATATGAAGAATAACAAAAGAATGATTGCAGAGCAAGAAAATAAATTGAGATACAAAGCTATCATAGTTGTTGTAGCATATAATATTAGAGCGATCAATAAAAAATAAATGGTGCTTAGACTTTCATAAAGAGATATAATCATAAATAATCTCAAAGAAGAAATTATTCACAAAACATAAATAATATGTTGCTTTACAAACTAATAATCAAACTCAAATGGTATATTACTCATCCTTGGATTCATCATGATCATTATCAAACTAATAATATTTTGTACCTTATTATGAATCTTAAGCAATTATTTACTAAAACAATTAGTGCTTTATTAACGATCAATGAACACCTTTACATTGTATTTGCATGTTAAAATACACTCTCGTTATATTCACATCTAGATGAACCAAATGTAAGATGAAGCTGTCGCTCCAATTTGTCATTAGATCTATCTCGGATTATGAAGACTTTCTTATTTAAGAGGATTCCTCGCATGAAGGCTTTTCATATTTGAAGAATGTCACTTGATAGCTTTAGGATTGATTTTTGAGTTATTTGATTCTGTTACTTCCGGACCCAAATTAATTCAGTATGGAATGGCGGATTTCAATAAAAAAATATATCACCAACGTAATGATATCCTAAACAGCTAAATTAAGCATACAATGTGCAACATCTGCAGATGAAAACAGGCAAAGCTATGGAAGATAGAGAAATTCGGATCCCCATTCTAGCCATCACATTCATCGACGGACCATTTTCACCGCCACCTTGGTGGTTAGATCTAGCACCCGGGAAGCAGAGGGGAATACCTGAAGAGTGGGAAAATCTGGCCGCGAGTTTGGCGTAAGAAGATAGTTTAATGTCAAGTTCCCCTTCGATCTTCCTCGCCTCCTTCCTTAGCTCCTCCCAACCGGATTCCTGAAGCTCTAGACTCGCATCCATCATATCGACGTCCACTTCCTCTTCTTATACCCTTCTTCTCCCTAGCGTTACCCTAAGGGCACGCGTGGTAGAGTTGCGGGCTCCGACGACGGTCAAGAAGAGGAATCCCTAACGAGAAACAGTGGAGATGCTGCGGCAGTGAATCTTCGCTTCCCTCCGCTCTTCGAATCTTCCCGTCAGTCCCAGTTTAGTAGTTTTAGAGATCGACAATCATTTAGAAAGGGCTGAAAAGATCAGAATTAAATTACTTTAAGCCATAGAGATTTTAATTACAAAATTAACATTAATAGTTGAAAGAAACTCAAACCCGTTTCAAGTTTTATCACGACTCGATAGTTGTACCAGCCATAATATCATGAAGAATAATATCGAGTATTGACAATGTCTTAGGAGTGATGGCTTGTCAAGCCTCAACATTTGTTGTTAGTTTTTATATTGTAGCTTCATATATTGTACTCCCTCATCTAAAAATAGAAGAAGTATTTCATGAGAAATGCTTGATCAACAATTTAAATTGAAGTTCATTATTATGTCCTTCTCTGTCTCTCTCTCTCTCTCTCTCGCAGAAGGAGAAGCAACCTTTTTTTAAAGGGGGGATAAATTGCGCTCAACCCATTGAGGGGGGCTAGAACAACGAAGAACAAAGTGATATTTCAAAAGAGTCAAAATTAATATTTTAAGAGGGGTAAAACAGATATTTAAGGAGAGATAAAATATCAAATTACCCTCTCATGTAAATAACCCCGGACCTTACTTGGGAGCACCCCTACTCTCTTGTGTCTTATAGCTTGTTCCTTAGGTGTGACTCACGGACAAATCATGATTTATTAGGCATAAAATAAGATCATTATATGCTTGTTAGAAAGATTTTTTAGTAATTAGAATTGATTAAACTTCTTTGTAGAAAAAAATAAGTATGATAGAAGGTACAAACATGAGCATCTACCTTGATTAAGGGTTACCTAATGAATATAATGATGTTTACAAAAAACTAGTCAAGATGTTGTAAAGGCTAAATTGGGATATTGGTGTGGTAGAAGAAGACATCAAAAATAGGATGTGGTGGTGTTCTCGCTAAAGAGATACTTGAAGTATGAATTTAAATAAAAGAACGCTTGTAATTATTATTATTATTTAAATTGAAGTTAAAGTTTAGTCAATTATATTATTCTCTATATTTTAAGATTTTGGTTTTGAATTAAATTTTATGTGCCTGGGCCATGAAATTTATACAGAAAATAGCAGAGTTTTAATATAGAAAAAATATAATATCAAATAATCTATTTTTAAATTGGTTCTAATTAAATTTGGGAGAAGTACTTAACGCTTCCAATATTTCCTATTCCATTGCACTCCTCTAACATTAATCATTCAACTACAATAAAAATGGAAAATATGTACCATTCAGCACACCTTTCAAACTTCGTTGTCTGAACTGCCATTGAAGAAAGGAAAATTTTCACACATAATACACATCTAATGTATTTACATATCTAACAGCTAAAATTTAAAATTTATATTTATACCAATTCAATGTCATAAATTATGCATTAAGAAACCTGCTTCACTTTTAAAAGAACTAATAACTGTGATACTCTTGGTGTAATGTTTAATATTAAACCCCAGTCAATTACAACAACATAAACAAACACACAACAATAAAACACATAAACAAACAAATTACCTCCCAAGAAAAGCTTAATTTTACGCCCTCAGCCCTCAGCCTGCTGACGGAAAAAATTTGCGTACATAAGACGTACGCAAAGCTGCGTACAAACAGGTTACATGAAAGATTTCAGGAGGTTATAACCGCGTTATACCCCCTGTAACCTACCTATATATGAAAACAGAAGCGCGGAACTTACTCGAAGGTACAGGTAGGTTACAGGGGTATAACGCGGTTATAACCTCCTAAAATCCTCCCTGCAAACAGGTTACGTACCCTGTTTGCAGGTTACAGCCGTACGCAGCTCTGCGTACGTCTTATGTACGCAAATTTTTTCCCAGCCTGACGGTGCCCGCGACCTAACCAGCCACCCATGGGCAAAATCAGGTTATGTCCACAATAGACAATTGTGCCCCCTAAAATTTGAAATTTCCTCATGTACAAAATAAAAAGTGGTTTTTTTCTTAAATAGTTTATGCAAGTTATAAAAAATAGCTTCTCAACCGACCATAATCTCCCGGCCACTTGCTTGAACCAAAATAAAAATAAGAATAAAAATAAATAAAATTTCCATCATTACCACAAAATCAGCACCACAAAATCAGCTAACTTGACAAAATCAGCTAACTTGAAAAAAAAAAAAAATCTTCATAAATAAGAAGAAAAGAGAAACACCGTGAACACTGAAATAACCTAATAAAAAACCCAGCTGATAAATCATGCTCCTACAAATCCAAAATAAAAAAAAAAAAAATGAAATAAAAAATAATGATAAAAAAAACATAACACTGATATAAGCTTCGCGGCAATCTGAAGAGTCTAATGTTAAAACAAGAAAAGGAGTGCAGCTAAGAGCGCCACCGCTGCAAAAACCGTAGCACTTCCTCCTCGAATGGTTGTTGATGAGTACTCCAACGCCTGCCCATGAGGTTTCTGTTGCCTGAAACATTGAAATTAAGATAAAATCCAGACCTTAAATCCAGAATTTTATAAATCTATGCAACTTGCACCTATTTTATGTTTGGATGGATTTAATAAATTCGAACATAAATCATGTTAATGAGGCGCTACCCAACACCCCTAAAAAGTATCATTATGTTAACTTAAGGATTAAGTGATATGTATGTAAATCTTCCTAAAATTTATGACTTGCAACAATTTATTCGAGAATAATTTATTAGGTGCAGAGAACATATACAATTGTACACTCGTCTTGTACTCCATTCTTTAAGAGTACACAACGAGCACGCAACTTGTACTTGCATGCTCTCAAAATATTGCCGTGCAACTATGCACTCCTGTTACTGGCATCTAGAGCTACAAAGTTATGACTTCTTTGTTGGCTTTGTTTTCGAACACTTCTATTTGGCTATAATTTTCTTATTATTTTTTTCATAAGCCTAAAACAACTTTTATAGTCATGCATACCATAGCATGGTAAATTTTTGGGTAAAATGTCTATATGGTTTTCCAAGTCTTTGTTCTAGTAGTTTTAGGACTTCTGTTTATAAAAATTGTTAATTTAGTTTCCCAAACTCTTTTGAACTCTTTTGATGGGGGCTAAAATAATCCTTCTTGGAAATTATTTTAGCCCAAATTAAAAGAGGCTATAAACTAATTTGACACCTTTATAGACATGGGACTATAAATGGCACCATCTTAATATTTAAGGTACTATTTTGACACTAATTTTTTAAAAAAGGAATTCCTTTTAAAAGCGACTAGCCGCCCCAAACAAACCATAAGGGCATTTTTGGGATCAATTTAGTTTTTCTTTCGGTTTTTAAAAACATATTTGTTTGGAGTATTTTTTTTTTTTTTGCATTTTTTTTATTTTTTGCTTCTAAAGAGAAAATAACATGTTTTTGAAGACATTCAAAAAAACATTTAGGTGTTTTGAATATTTTCAAAAACAACTATGTCTTAATCAAACATACCAAACATATTTTATTTCAAATAAAAAACATAAACAAAACAAAAATTAAAAAAAGAAACAATCACTTCTGTTTTTTATATTTTGTTTTTATATTATTTTCTTAATATTTTGCTTTGAAACAAAGCATTTTGTCTATTTGATTAAAGAATGATTGTTTTAAAAAACATTCAAAACACCAAAATGTTGTTTAGAGTGTTTTCAAAAACAAGTTCGTTTCTTTTTTAGAAAAAAAACATATGATCACTAAAAAATTACACTGAATAAACATGTTTTTAAAAAAACTAAATTGATGCCAAACAAACCCTGAGAAACAAAAGAATGGATTCAAAGATTTACTTTTGCATGTCGTCAAGGAGTCCACAATAAAGAGCATTATCAGGTAGAGGCATTTCAGTTTTGTTTGTGCTCTCAGGGTTGAAAACCTTAATGTAGGTCTCCTGTCCTAAGTACCACGAATCAAGATTTTCCGAGCGCAAATTCCAGGTACCAACATTATCAAGTGAAACCAACACAGCAGTCCAAGCTCCTGGATAAACCTGAAATAATAAATTCACAAAATTGATGTTTTGAAGCAAAAATCTCATGTTTATCAATGATCAGAATGAATTTCAAAATATTTGGGTTAGCTTTGAGATCAATGAAATATATGATTAATCAAATAAAATTTGTAATGGATTTATCTAAATGAAAATCTATTTACTTGGAGATCATCAAATTTGGGTTATTATATCCTCAAACAATTCAGATATTGATCTCCAAAAACTGATTTGATGATCTCAAGAGAATATAAAAGTATTCCGAGAATTCAATTATTTGTTTAAAGACATCAAACACAATAACGAACTATTCATACACACATGTAACTATAAATTAAATTGTTGTTCATTAAACAAATTATAGTTAGAGAATAACTTATCAACCTTAAAAAGTCATTCTATCAGATTATCCCATTTAAACATGGAATACAGATTGTAATGAGACTTGAATGATTAGGAGGTAATAAAGAGAAGATTTAAGATCAACGAAAGGTATTGAATGACACATATTATGCTCAACCAATATTTTGGATTGGCACTGTTGCTCCAATTTGCTAATAATATGATCAAACATTCTGAATGATCAAGCCATAGTACAAAGAAGAATTATGATCAATGAAAGTACGCATATTACACATTCTACTGTAGTATTGATTTGGATTGAGATTGTTGGTCCAATTTCTTCCAAATATGCAAACAAATTTTGGCTGGTTCTGCAAGGCAGAGGTTGTGACAGGCATGAGTCTAAAAGATAATGAAATGAGAAAATGACTAGGTAAGGTTCTCAACAATAGTACCATTAGTAAAAACATACATCCAATCCAACCATTTTGAGCAGCACGCACGCCAAACGAAGAACTGATAAGACAAGGTGGGGACTTAATTCGTATATATCATGCATTCATCCTCCCTGATTGTGAGTGCTTATAAAATATAAAGTTAACTCGAACTAACTCATTCCAAATAAACAACCTCATCAGCACCAAATACAGAAATAGTTAAAATACTCATTAGCTTCTAACCAAACAACATCTTGAGTTATGTCGTGAACATGTTTGAAGCTAATTGGGTTGAGCTCAGTGCGGAGGCTATAAAGGGAAATATTATCTTCAGAGAATTAGTTGTAAAGGAAAACATTCATTAAATGTTGATCGACTCTAGTTAAAACAATATCGTCAAGATAACATATATACGTGTATTTGTATTTAGTGAATATACATATACATTATATAGATATATGTTAAATTTATATAGCATTCAAATAAAATGAATATTTGATCTCTCAACGCAAGCTAAACAAATCCAGATTCTGACGCAAATAGGCTCGTTTTCTTCATCTCAATGATTTGAATGCACTCACACGGTTTATTTTACAATTAAGCATCATTTAGATGGCTTCGATGACAACTGAGGTGAGTTAGCTCCAACTAGCTTGTTATCACACCTGATATTTACCATTTTCGTCAAGCAAAATAGATATGGAGGTCAACAATAATAATAAACAAGATAATCTTGTGCAGAAGATATGTTAGTGGATTTTATATCATGGAAAGCTTCATTACTTAGGAAAAAAACGAGGACAATAAGCAACAAAAAGGTCTCTCCATACATTGTTGAGCGTTTATCAATTGGAATAAATTAAGGAGAAAAGTGTCAAAATTGTTTGCTGGTTCTTCGTAAGGGTCCATTTTAGTCCCTTAATTTATAAAAGTTTCAATTTAGTTCAGTGTTTTTTTTAATATTGGGTTTAAATAGTCCTCAATGAGGACTAATTAAGCCCCCATGATAATAGTATGGAAACTAATTTAATACTTTTATAAACTCTCAGACTACAATAGCCCCATCTAAAAGTAAAAATAGAAATATATATGATAAAAACTAAAATGGAACTTTTAGATGGATGCTAATGAAATTGAACCACTCAAAGTGAATGAAACATAAACCATTCACCTGAATTGTGCTACGTGCAACACCATCCCATTTATTATATGTGCCTCTACTATTCTCAGCCCACTCTCCAAAATCCATCCTACATATTTCAAAATCATTTATTTATGTTAATAAAAAGATTGTGCAAAAAGATGAAAACTTTATAAGCTAACAAGCGGAAGTGTCCATACCCAACAACAAAGAATGCATATCCATCCAGGTGATAACTCTGAACTCTAGACTCATTATTCTGGAATACAATCTCCATGAAACCCCTGTATGTACCATTAATAATAGAAGTTGCAATTTTTGGTGGTCCTGGAAGTGGCTTGGTAGGGAAATTAAGCTTGTAAATTCCTTTCTTTTCATACTGGTCGGCTAGCCTCAACGGTGTCTCAGGAGGTAAATAAGAAATCCCATTGAGTGTTGCCCGAAGCTTTCCATTAATAAGCACAGGTGCCTTGTTTTTTAAAACATAAACTTGGGTCACATTGATGGAACCATACCTAAAAGAACCTTGGGGATTTGGACGGGCACCACTAGCAGTCACATTCCACCTGAAAATATTTATAGAATATTCAAACAAAAGATATCAAAATTATAAATTTAGCTTACCCAAGTAATGTTAATAAATTATTCACATGCAAATTCCGAAGAAATTGTATCCATATGGATCATTTTCAGAAAAAAATACCACAGAGGAACGAAGCAGAACAGATGCAAATCTCTAATAAATAAGCAGACGATCAATGAAGGATGATTAAAGTTGTTATACAATAACCACCAAAACTTCTCCCAATTAAACAAGTTCAAAGAAGCTCAACACAAACCTGATTGATCTTGCCTGATTCATAGAATATGATTTGTCATAAATATCATTGGGAGGATCAGGAAGAGGACCAGATGCTTTGCCTTTGGAATTCGAATAATGAAGGATTCCAACCCCTAAAACTCTATCCCATTTCGATCCATTTACAAACCTAGCGCTCGCTACAATGTAGTAATCAGTGCTTGCATTCTGATCCGTAGTAATCAAGAAAGAGTAGGACTGCCCAACAAATACATCAAGATTGGTATAATTCTGCTGAACTGTGTATGATCCTTCTGTTTCTGTAAGAAGAAGGTTGTGGGATTGGATTCTAAAGTTCAAACAAGTAGATATTCCAATATTGTGGACACGAAATCGATAAGTTTTCCCTGTTACAGTTAAAACAACCATCAGAATAACGTGATATGAAGATTTACTTGGGCTCTTCTTGGATCTTACCTACCTGTTTGATGGTCATTTGAGAACAAATTCCAAAAAACATTCGTTTAAACAAGGAAAAGCAGAAAATCAGAGAACCGTGATTTGTCAAAAACAAGAATACTGATTTCTCCAAAGGATCTTCGGCAACCTAACTAATAAAAAGAAGACTGATTAGAAAGTGCCTTCACCTGGATGAACATTGATGGTCTCGTAATCAATTCCTGCCATATTGCAATGTATTTTTTAGGTGCATGGATATAATTAAAAAAAGTGAGTCTTGTTAATTTTGTTTTGTTGTTGGTATTAATGGTTGTCATTGCTATTTTGATGTATCATGTTCAGTTCATTTGATTAACTCATGATTTTGATGCTTTCTCTAGTCTTGAGAACATATATGATTGTACTGTTTATATGATAAATTAATTTGTGTTATTTAAATTGATAATTTGTGCTATTTGTTGGATTTTGTTTTATGGATAATCTTTTTCATTTCTAAGCATGCTTTTTAAATGTAATGGGAGTGGAATAAAATCATAGTTGTCAACATTAAACAATGCACAATAAAACAACACCTTGAACCTCTAGTGCATGGCGTATCTGGCTTGAACAATGCACAACTTAAGGAAATTTATGCTGAAAATTTTTTTAATAATGAGTTGGAGATGTGTACCAATCCCTAGGACTATAATTGGGTTTGTCGTGCATTGGACTTAGCTTGATCATTTTTTAAGTACATGCTCAGCTCAAGCTTGCGACAAGCTTTCACATGTATTTTCATACTTGACTTGTTTAAATTTTTAATAATTATACTTGTTTACTACTTGGCTTGTCTATATTAATTGAATGAATACTTTACGGAGTTAATAAATGACCTAATCAATTGAATAAGTGCTTTACTTTTCATATAAAGTTCTAAACAAATGATCTTAAAAATCTAAACAGATAAGCAATTAAATAGATTCTGAATTATTATTAAACTATTTTACATCAATTAAATATGATAATCTAAGTTACAAGCAAAATTTCTTATAATAAAATAATATAAATAAGTACAAACAACTAGTTCATTTAAATAAATAATAAGAAAGAACCAAATTAAATTAATATGCATATTGATTAATGATAAATGAATTATTTGAAAAATAAAAAAAAAATAACCAAATTTTATTTAAATAGTACATTATATATGATATGATGTATCATCAAACTTAATATCGAGTAGTTAACAAGTTACTTGTTGAACAAAAAATGAAGTATTTTACAAAATAAATTTACAAGTTGGACAATGTTTAATTTTGCTTTATTTAACTTTCGAGTTTTTAAAGACGTACAAATTTGTTTATTTAGTACTTTGAACGAACTCAATCGAATATCGATCAAACCATGTTCAAGTTGTTTATCGAATGCATTGGTTTATTTATGGTACTATTCTCCCACCTAGGTTTTACTTGATGCTCTGGTAGCTGTGCCTCTAAATTATAAATTTCTCAGGCATTAAAATTATGCACCCACATACAGGCATGCTCAAAAACTTTTTTCTACTTCCTAAGCTACTTTTTATTTTCTAAACATTTATTGCTCTTAAGTTTTTACTTTTTTTAGCATAGGTTTTTTGGATTAAATATATGTTATCTGCAAATGGTTGACACCTGATTCCTTAATTTGAACATCTTTTGTTAGCATCTCTCTAATCTATACTAAAGTTTACATATTTATTGTTGATTCTTGCTGCGTCACATTGTGGTTGGGATCTCATTAGTTACATTATTGCTTTTAATGGTTGTTAATGCTTTACCATGTATTTGTTAGTCAACTTCAACATACTTGTGATGCAAGTTTATTTTTCTAAATACTTAACTTTTTATATAAATTTTCTCACAAATGGTTTTATAGATCTAAATACAGAGGTATGAATAAATTATAAATTAGTATCAAACTATTTTACGTAAGTTAAAAATAATTCGATACTAGTTACAAGCAACTTTCTTACAATCAAGTAATATAAATAAGTGTAGATAAGCTAGTTTAGATAAATAAATAGGAAATAATCACATCAACTTAATATGTATATTGGCTAATGACAACTAAATTAATTTAAAAAATAAAAAAGCAAAAAAGTATAGTTAATCAAATTTTTTTTTGAATAATATATTATATATGATATGAGCTATAATATTATTAATATTAAGTTTTTAATAATTTTCTTGTTGAACAATAAATGAGTTTGTTTGGGAACAAAAATTTATAGGCTGGACAATGTTTATTTAACCTTTGAATTTTTAAAGACATTCAAATTTGTTTATTTAGTAATTTGAAAAAATTCAATTGAGTGTTAATCAAGCCAGGTTCGAGTTGTTCACCGAATGCATTGGTTCATTTATAGCACTACTTATCAAACCTAGGTTTTACTTGATTCTCTAGCAGCTTTGACTCTTAATTATCAATTTCTTAGGCACTAAAATTTACAGACACACGTACATAGGCTCAAAAACTTTTTTTTTCTAACCATTTATTGCTCCAAATTTTTTACTTATTTTAGGATAAGATTTCTTTGGTATAAGGTCTACGAATTGTCGGCACATGATTCCTTAATTTGAACATCTTTTGTTATCATCTCTCTAATCTATACTAAAGCTTACATATTTATCGTTGATTCTTGATTAGTTCCATTGTGGTTGTGAAGTCATTAGTTGCTTCACTATTATTGTTAGTTATTGCTTTTCCATATATATATATATATATATATTAAACAATTACAAAATATATTTAAAATAACCAAACATAATTTATTTCAAATAAATAAATTAAATTAAATTAAATCCTGTCAACTAAAGTATCTCAGCAGGCAAAGGTTTTCATAAAATATGGTCTCATGCCTTCTTCAATATAATAGTGGCATCTTATTTCAACAAGACAACGGCACACAATCACTTCCATGTGCAGACTTTACTTGTTTAATCAAGCAGAATATATATAAAAAAACAAAGTTAAGGGGTTAGATATGTAAATACAAAGGAGTTTTGTTGTATGCATGTAAATGCCCATATCAAACTATGTCTAGTTATATGTTGAATCATGAACATACTATAAATATAATTGATTTGACTCAATTAAAGCTTGATTAGGAATCAAATTCAACAAAAAACATACTATAAATATAATTGATTTGACTCAATTAAAGTTTGAACAAAAATAATAATAATAAACTTTAATTGAACGGTTTAAAACTCAGTTCATATTCAAATTCAGCTCAAACTCAATAACAAATTAAATTAGCATAGTTAAACAATACAGTACGAAGCTCAACTGCACTCATTTATAGCAGAAAGAGTAGGTTTTCATGTTTCCGGAGACGAGAATAATGAAGCTCTTGCCACACTATTAAACTATAAGACTTCAGGTATGAGTAGCACAAATAGATATTATTTCGCCCGCCAATGACATGTATGACGATGTGGCGCCCGGTGGTTGGCCGTCCGGACATGCGGTGGATGGTTATCCGGACGAAATATTTTCTCAGGCTTCAGACACATGGTAGCGGCCAGATCTTCCCAAATAATTCTTCCACACGCCTAGTTTGATTAACATAACCATCAAGTCCAGAAGCTAGAAGTTCTTCGGCACAGGGTCCCATTGCTGAAGCAAAGCTCCTTTGATCCCATTTCAGAAGCTATGCCATCAAAATCAAATTAGGACTTGAAAAGAATTTCGTCTTAGAGGAAAGATTTAAAGGTGCAGAGTTTAATTCGTCCTACGGAGAAAATAAGAGGTTGCAGCTTTTTGTAAAGGTGGTTGTAAGGATGTGGTGTGAAATTATTCATTTCTTTTCAAAAAATCAGAAATCAGCTTTCTTACATCTACCACACACACTTTATAGAACAGTTGTAGAAAGCAAATTATTGCCACAAAAATTTCTCGAAAGCAATTTTTCCATACAGAATTGTGATGACATTTTGAAATGCAAAATATACAAAAATCTGTCCCAAATAGACCCCTTAGTTGCTTTGCAGTTAGATTATCGTGAGGGTAGGGAGAAAAAGTGGTGGGGGAGGCTTGATAATTCTGCCTCTACTAGCTCTGGAAGAAATATGAAAAATGAAGGGGGTTTAGAGGATAAAAGCACGGGTAAGAGAGGGCACAAGCAGTATAATGAGAAGGAAACATGATGAAGGAGAAGGATATGGTGGCGTCTAACGACTTACTGCAATTTGATTTTTATATGTTTTATCAAAGCAAAAGCTCAACCATGATCTCCTTGATCAGCAGGGATTCAATATCACTGTTACACTTGAGGTCTAGCCAACATGAACTGATAAATCAGGATTGATATTTGATATTCATGCTTGCAGAGAAAATTTTGAACATGAGGAGACGAGCTATTTTATTTTTTATTATTTTGGAAGATTTATATAGATACCACTCAATTCCTATCCATTTACATAGCTAACACCTAAACTTCAATTTTTATTTTTTTGGAAGATTACCACTCAACTCCTATTCAATTACATAGCTAACACCTAAACTTCAATTTTGAAATACATACCACCTTGCCTATACATGAAAAGCTGCATTTCACCTTTTTGAAGTTAAAATGGTGGTATTTTTTATGTGATATGATAGATTCGAATGGTATAAATGTAAAAAATAAAGTTTAGGTGTTAGAAATAAGAATTGAAGTTATATTCTTGTAGGAGTTCATCAAATAAGGGACTTGCATGATATTCTGTGTTTATGATTTTAACGGACAATTCAAAAACTAGTCATTCTCTTAATCATTATTTCACCTAATTATTTTGGGTCATATACAAAGATTGTAACGTATTTTCAATCTTAAATGTGGCGATCAAGGCCTTCAAATTACAAGAGAGGCCTTTCCTTGATTTAGCTGGGGCGGAGGACTATGGTGACAAAGAGACTTAGGATTTGTTTGGGGCAGTTGCAGCTGTTTCGAGAAGCAGCTGTGAAGCTGCTATGAGAAAGAGTGATGCAACTGGTTCTGAAATAAAGTTTGTAATATCCATATGTACATGTGTTAGTTGTAAATTCAACATCTCAGAAAAAAATCAAACAGAGGACCATAAATAATTTCAGAATATTAAATAAAGTCAGAAATCCAATATATTACCTCCAAATTTATACACCATATAGCCACTGAATAACACGAAAATTAAAATTATAATAACAACAAATAATATCACTCCTCATCTCCAAAATATCAAGTCTTCTAGAGAATTTTTTTTACAAAATTACTCTCCACATATGATCACTTACATTTTTCAACTCCTTACAGTCGCCAACACATCTAAGAAAACCAATTTATTTCTAGGAGATCTCATAACTTAGCTTCTCAATGTGACGTAAACAAGCAACGTTGAAAACCTCGATTGTAATTCACAACTCTAGGAGCAGTAAAAATCCCTAAACTCATTTTTTTCTGAAAATGTGGAGTTTAATACACCAATCTCAACTTTAATCACAAAAAAAAACATTGCAAATCACACGTAAAAAAACAAAACTCACTATATATATTTCCTCACAATCCAAACCACGCACCCAATATCAACCAAAGAAAGACGGTATCAATCAAAATCAAGTGAAGAATCTGTTCATAACATAAATATAAAGTAAATATGTTCTAATTTTCACTTTAATTATTACATAAAACAATTGTAATAATTTGTTTCATCTCTTTAATTACTTTGTCATCTTATACTTGAGAGGCTACAATAAACACCAGAGAACTCATCAAATATGCGAAATATAAAATAACTAAATTTAAATATAGAAAACAAGCACACAACGATAGTTAACAAAACAAGATAATACTAACGAATGTTACAAAAAAGTTCAAGTACAATATTTTACAAAAAAAAATAAATAAATTATTCGAAATTATACTACACATTGTAATTCTCAAAAAAATAACGGAGATAATGACTCATTTGCTTAGAAACCATGACCATAAAAATCTCTCTCTTATCAACATCCTCAAGCACCTTCGTGGAGTGTAAATATAGAGGAATGTTTTCTAAGACTTCCTTGATCTGAACTAGCTTAATGATAACCTCAGAAAATAATAGAGTATGAGGCGTGCTCGAAGCAACTATCATTGTTGTGCATATAGTAACTAATTACGCAATTTAATTTTTTTTAAATTCAACGCTTTTTTTTTCAATACACTTGGACCCTCAGATGACTTGCGCTTCAAATAAATTGATTCAATACGACCATCATTTACCCTATGCAAAGGTTTCACAATGAGGTCATTTGAGCGCTCTTGGGTCAGAATTGTAAAGATCATGTGTAGGCTTATAAGACTCTTTGGCTTGAAGTCCATACATAAACTCTAGTAACAACAACACCACCAAACATCTGATTTAGTTTATCTTTTGATGCCACGATATCTAAATTTTTTGACATTTTGTACTACCTAAAGTGAACATTGATATGAACTATAAATAAACAAGTATAATTTCTTAATAATATGAACAGTTTCTCGATGAGGCTATTTGAGCTCTCTTGGGTCAGAACTGCAAGTATCATGTGTAGACCCATTAGGCTCTTGGTTTGAAGTCCGTGCATAAGCTCTAATAGCAACAATGCCACCGAACATTTGATCTGGTTTATTCTCTGGTTCACGATATATGTCACAGTATCTAAATTTTTTTTACATTTGGCACTACTTACAGCGAACATTGATATGAATTATAACTAGAAATGTATACCTAATGAATAATATGAATGAAGTGTGCAAAATCAATAATTTAACTATATTTTTTTTGTCACAACTCATTTGGTGCATCAATAGTCTTCTTTACATAATCTCAACCTAACTCAGTCAATCATTGATTTAGCTCATTCCGTAATTTCAAATCCTTTTCCGATTGATCACATTTACTTTTTAATTACATTTTGTTGTACTTTCTATCAGCTCCCTCTTTAAAGTGTGATAATATTCTATCAACCCTTCTTATTAAAGTGAGTTTTTGGTTGATTACCTAATTTCATGCCATTTAAATATATATCGTAAAAATTCATTTCCACGTCAAGTTCCTAAGTGACACTTGCTCCAAAATCTCTGGGATTCTACATTACAAAATAACTTTAAAAGAACAAAAAAATAAATTTTTAAGAATTTAAAGTACTTCTATTTTTTTGTTCCTTTAAGTCATTTGTAGTGAGGAATCCGAGAGAGTTTGAAGTAAATATCAATGGGGAACATGATGTGAAAATAAATTTTTACAGCATATGTTTGAAGGAGGTGGAATTAGGCAATCGGCCAACATCTTACTTAAATAAGGAGAATTGGTAGAATATTATCACGTACTTCAAAGAAATAACTAGTAAAAAGTACAAAATAACTCAACAAAAGAAACTTGAGATCAATTGAAGAAGAATTGTAAATTATGAAAGGAATTAAAACAAGAATTAACAGAGTTAGGTTGGAATTCTATAAAAAATATCATTGATGCACCATATGAGTAGTAGAAAGAGAAGCTATAATTAAATTATTTATTTGCAAATTTCATTTATATTAGTCAGTAAGTATATATGTTTTTTTACAGTTTATATCTATGTTCAATAAATTTACATAGAACCAAATGCCAAAAAAATCAAATAATGTGGCATGGATTCCGAACTAGAGTAGAAGCTAGACCAAATGTTCAGTGATGTTGTTGCTATTAGAGTCTATGCATGGATCCAAACTGCATAGGCTCCAAACCAATAGCCTCATGAGCCTACATACGGTCCTTGTAATTCAGACCCGATAGAGCTCAAATGACCTCGCCAAGGAACCATTGCATAAAATAGATGATTGCATGGAATTCAATTATTTTAAGTGCAAACCAACTGAGAGTCCAAGTGTTTTGAAAAAAAAAAGAAAGAATAAGTAATTGGTTTTCTAAGAAATCAAATTGCTCAGTTATTGCATGCACAACAATAACATCTGCTTCAAGTGCGACTCATGCACCACAATCTCTGTCTAAGGTTATCTTTATGCTAGACCAGATCATGGAAGTATTTGAAGATATTCATCTTTAAATGCACTCCAAAAAAGTGCTCGGGAATGTCAATAGTGAGATTTTTGTGTATGGTTCCTGAGCAAAGAGTTTATTATCGTCGTTATTTTTTTCAGAATCAAAATGTGTAGCATAATTTTGAACAATTTAAATTTTTTTGCAACATATTGTACTTGAAATGTTTTGTTATATTCGTTAGTATTATATTGTTTTGTTAGTTATCATTTTGCCTTGATTTTTTTCTATTTAAATGTTAGTTATTTTATATTTCACATATTTGATGAGTTCTTTAATGATTACGGTAGACTCTTAAGCACAAAATGAGTGAAGGAGCTAAGGAGATGAAAGAGCTTAAACACCCCATTATAAATTTTTTACATAATAATTAAAGTGAGAATTATAATGTACCTGCTTTACATTTATATTATTAACATATTCCCCAATTAATTTTGACTAGTTTTGGCTTTTTTTGGGTAAATTTTATAGGTATCCCAAAAATATATTATTTGATGATTATGGCTTCTTTAGATGAGCTGACGACTACAAGGAGTATACTTCAAATAATGACTATATGTGAAAAGTAGTTCTGAAAAGAAAATTCTTCAGAATACTTGATTGCATGAACATGAAGAGTAGTATTATAATAACATTACTCATTATTATAATTTTAATTTACATGTTATTTAGTGCTAAGTGATACATAAATTTTAATGTAATATATTAAATTTTTAACTTTCTGTAATATTCTTAAATTTATTTCAATGATTTGTTGGAATTATTTTTGAAACAATGAAATTACAACTAGTACGTGTACATAAAGGCATTACAATATTTATTTCAAAAAGAGCCACAAAATAGGAGATTCACAACTAAACTATCCAAACAGGCATACTGTCACCAATATCAACTTTCTCACAGCAACTTCTTCTGGCAACAGCTTCACAGCTGCTTCTTGAAACAGCTGAAGCTGCCCCAAATAGACCCTAAAAATATAAATCCACCAAGAAGAGGTTGACATTCTACTTGTTAAAATAAGAGAATGTTTAAGATACTAATAATACTCATTAATTATTCAATTGAAAAAAATTTTAAAAAATCTTCTAAAGCACCAGATAAAACAAAAAAATTACCTCTTTGTCGGTGAAATCATACTCTTTCGCAGAGCTTGGACTTAGCCTCCTTATGTAGGAGTACTTCTCATCAGGAAATGTGACAGATTCTTTTAGGGATTGTAATATCTTCAGTGGTGCAATGATATAATCAACCCTGGAACAAGTAGTAAGATGTGATCATATTACCAATTGTGAAGTCAGGCTAAATTGAAGATTAATAAAATTCAGTTTGCATAACGCACCCAAGAATGCCAAATAAGTCCTGCTTATTGCGAATTGCTGCAGCCATCAGCTTCGACTTGTATCCGTATTTGTGGATATAGTTGTATGTTTTGATTACCTGTAAAATCATGAAAATTTAATAACAAGTTTGTGGTCTATTACATCACAAGAAATACATAAACAAAATGAATTAGCTAAAAGATTATGCTAATGTTGATTATGACGATAAAAATGTCAAGTTTGTAAATAATACTTAAAGAAGCTGAAAAGCAGCTAAATGTTAAGCAGCTCCAAGAAAAATCTACACATTTTATGAAGCTCAAATGGTTTAGTTGCTTTAAGCATGTTAAAAGAACCGTTAAAATCCATGTCCTCTGCAAAAATTCCTCATGCCTTCTTATATCAAATTTATGGATAGAGCATTCAAAAACAGTCAGAGATTTATAACCATAATTGATTAACATTGCTTCCATTCACAATTACCCCTGGCTAGTGGAAAACATTTCTTAAAACACCCAAATAAATATCTTCTTCCTAGGCTTGTAGTAAAATGTGAAACAGATTATTTTCTTGCATCAAACGTCAAGTTGCAACGAAGTTTCTTTATAAGTTCTCAAGTAGAACCAATAATACAGTAAATGCGATCAACATAAGCATGTTCGATTAATGCAACAAAAATGAAGCTTCAAGAAATAACCTGGATGAAAAAAATCTTCTAAGGGTACTAATTTAACACCACTCCAAAACCTACCAATGCTGAATGCTAATCTGGGCCATCTGATCTCTCTTAAACTCATGACTGGTTGATCCATCATAACCTCCTTCGGCCTTTTTGTTGGAACAAAATACAATTTGTCCCACAACTTTAAAATTTATTAGCATCAAAATGCATGTTTCTCAAATAAAAAGCATGGATAATAGCGTAACCAGCAAAATCAACCACTAATCAGAAAAACAGAACACCCTGCCAGC